ATTCCTGCTCAGGCTTCATACAAAGTCTTGGAAGATCAGAAGCATTTTTCTCCCTACCGCAGTGCAGGAGGTGATAGCTCGAGGGAAGTAGGCATGTTTGCTCCTCAGTTGGTGAGAGGGTAGAGCCATCTGCCCTGACTTGAGGGAGAGCCTCTCCTTTGCTGCCCGTGGCAGAGGGTGTCTGCTTGTTATCTTCCAAGTGTTAATTCTGGGTGTGCCCTTTGCATCTGAGCCTCCTGGGTGAGGTTCAAGTTTTTTCCTCCCTCTTCTTCCCCTGGTCTGGGAGAGACCAAATCTGCTGAGTTACATCTCAGTACAAGAGGATGGTCTCTGACCCTGACCCACTTTTATCCCCACTTTCCAGGGCTTGATCTGGATTTAACTGAGGACCTTTCCATTTATTCTTTCAGCATGCTTTGGACAGCCCCTCGGTACTGTTTTACACTTGAAGAGCTAACTGATGATAATTGTATTCTGTTTCTCCATCCTGAGCTAATTTTCTGACTCGTTGAGGGTTTTTTTTCTGCTTGCTTTTTGTTAATCTAGTTGGCATTTTGTGGTTTCTTTGTTCATTATGTGATGGGGCTATATAAGGGCATTTGTCTCTGGAATTCAGGTATCCCCTGCACTGTGTTCTCTGTTATCGTCTTCATCAGCAACTATGCTGAAGGCAGTTAGATGCATTTGGCATGAGCTAACCTTAATAAATCTGGGCTGTTAATCACTCAGACATGTCTCTGTTGAATCCTTGCATACTGATTTGTGTGTGCTCAAATAGTTTCTCTGGAGTAAACTTCTGGTAACTCAGTGTTTTAATAATCTGCCCTCCAAATTCACCCTCAGGTTCTTGCCTCCTGGGGCTTTGCCTGCCAGGGACAGATCCAAGTCATCTGCCTGCCGAGGAGAGCAGCACCACAGCTGCCAAAGGCGCAGGGTGACAGCTTGCTCTGCAGCACGTGAACAGGACAAGGGCTCTCCGGGTGGCACGGGATTCCTGGGGGACTCTTCTCCCTCCCCACACTCCCGTCCAGCCGTCCGGCCTTGGGGATACCACACAGTCAGGCTGCAGAGAGCAAACCGCACCGTTCCTGCTGCCCCACACCACTGCCTGCCCCAGCCAGGGCAGGTCCCTGTGCACAAAACCCACAGCAGCCCACCCGCACAGCCCTGCCGGCAACGGGGAGGAAAACACGCAGCAGGAAGCAGGGATCCTGGTTTTGGAAGCTCTCCCTTGGTCTTATTGATCTTGGACACTAGGTTTCTTCCGACACCGCTCAGGAAGCCATTCCCACAGGTAAGCAGCATGTCTGAAGACAAATTAGTGAATGTTTAAGCATCTATTTACCTGCTGAGTTGGCTCAGACCTTGACCTGTTTCAGCAAAAGCAGAACTTCTTAGAACTTCTTTCCCAGACTTTGGCTAGGTAAGCCCTCTGATGATTGCTGCAGCAAGCCTTGCACCTGCAGTTTAGCAGAGATGCAATCTCTTGCCCCTCAGTCACTTGCTCAAGTCAAACAACATAGTTCAGTTTATCTGTTGGGTTGTTTTTTTTTTTTTTTTTTTTATGTTCTGCATCCTATCGTTTGCCTAAATGTTGCTGAGAGAGTGCTGCTGTGTTAGTCAGGGCATCCTCCAGTGATACAAGAGCCTCAAGGCAATGAGCAGAGCGTGCAAGGCTTTGAATCTTGTTCAGGCATTGATAATTACCAGTCTAGATAGCTAAGCCATTACAAAGATGCAATACATTCAGCTCTTACATCATGCCCATTTAGGGGAGAAAAATTCAGCAATGAAGAGATGCTACAATTGACTGATCCAAGGAAAACCAGCTAGGTTATTTTTTCAAAGCAAGAGATAGCTAACTACATGGATTAGCAGAAGATCAAGGGAGTATGAAGAGAGACCCACTTCTTTGGAATGAGGTCTTTGTTTCCTTCAGAAAAAGATTATGCAGCCATTTAAAGAAAGAAAAGAAGAAGAAAACAAAACAAAACAAAACAAAACACCTAAGAAACATTAAAGATGGACTCAACAGAAGGTTAAGAGACTTCTACTTCACCCATAGCCACTAGGTGTGACAGGGGCTCCCAGCACAGCTCTCCTATCGAAGCGATGATGGGCAGGTACAACTCCAAGGTTTGCTTGCTGCTTCCCAGAAATGTGGCTGTTTCTGAGGAAACCAGCAGCCAGTCTGTACCAGCATTCTTGGACAAACATCAGAAGAAACTATTGAAAATTTCTATCTATCCATCTTGCACTGTCAAACAGCCCTGGGGATGGGATTTAATCCCTGGTTTGGCTCATACCCCAGAATTTGCCAACAGCGAGGTAGATTTCATTTCAGAAACACAGTGAGAACCGTAGCTTAATATTTCTCATGGAAGATACCAGTGTTGGTGTTGTTGCTATGGTTATTTCACAGAAGCCCAAGATATAATATGTACATTGAAAGAAAATATAGAAATATCTCTTTAGAAACTGTGTGAGCTTTGTGGACACAGTGCATCATACGGCAGCCTATGGAAAGGCACACTGAGAATGCTGTGCACGGGGCTGGAAGTCCACACCAGCTCTGTCACTTGGGTGTTGGGTCACACACAGCTCCCTGAGCTGTTACAGAGAGTTTTGGAGCAGGGAAGGATGTGATTTTCCATCTTCTGTTGTTTCTTTGTGAAATGTTTGCTTTGCGGGTGTTCTTCAAAGAGCCCTGGAAAGTTTTGTCCTGGACAATAAAACATAGCAAATAAAGAATATGCTTGCCCAGCATGAAATCTTAGGTGAGTGTTTTTGTTAAACTCTGCATGGTTTTTGGATGACACGAGCGGTGTTTTTCATGAGTATCTGTCCGAATCAGTTGAATAACTCTGAGCACCAAATAAGCCCATGAATCACAGCTAACCAAGCTCTGCATCTGCCTTATTACTGATGGATGCTGCTATCACAGTTCACTTAGTGCTACTGCTATGGCACTAGAGAGATGGATAGTCCTTCTTTTTACTTATTACTTGGCATGAATCCTGTTACCTGCTGGCAAATAGTTTAAACCTTGTTTTCTGAAGGGGCCCTGTGAGAGCATGTTGAGGAAGTTTAATAACCCAGATCAAGTCCTCTGGATCCAGAGCAAGCATCAAGTGGGGGGGTATCGGTACCACGGGGCTGTCCTCTCCTGCCCCCAGGCCAGGTCCTGGGTGACTCCATGCTTTACCCAACCATTGTTTAACTCTTTTCTGCTGATTTTTCAATCCTGTCCTGGACTTTGAGAGGCAGGGGTGCTTTTTCCAGTTAGTCCTTTTAAAGTAGGACCTCCCAGGACTATTTTCCTTTCTGTGCCCAGACAGCACTGCACCTCCCAGGCTTTTCACGGCCATCTCCCGGTTTTCCCCGAGGCTGCCATCACTCACATTTTCACTCTCAAAGGAAACTTTTCAGTCACTGGGAGAAGCCCAGCCACTATACCTTATAAGCTCATCTCATTTACAGCCTCAGCTAGTGCTAAAATCTTGTACTATAGCAACCAAAGGATGAAGGATGCTGAGTTTTGCAATCTTGGGGAAAAAGCCTCTTAAACTTCTGAAGATATGTGAGTGGGAATGGACTGCCACACTTCTGTAGTGGAAACTGAAAACTCCATACTGACATCCACCTTTCCACAGGGAATAAATAATATTTTAATAAAGCGGAATACATGGTAGTTTGAGGGCTGTTCACTAAATGTTGATGAGTGAGGAACAGTAAGGAGGAGCTTCTCTTAATAATTGAGGTGATGTTCATTAATTAGAGATGTTTTTAGCATTTTTAAAAACTCACAATGATGTTTTTCAACTGAAAATGGACCCTGCTCTACACAGAGGGCAGTGTCTGCACTCAGCAGTAGGATGCCTTAAATTACCATATTCAAATAACTGTTAGTTTCCAAGCGAAGTGCCTCAGGGATCATGTATTCATCCATCTCTGTTGCTGCTCATGATGCTCTGCTCTCTGCTCCTGGTGCAGGGTCCCAAGGCACAGGGACGTGGCTGAGTGAGGTTAAGTGGCCTCGCAGTAAAGACCTCCCCTCCTTTCTCTCCTGTTCCTTCTTGCTGCACAAATGGAAAAAAAAAAATATTTTCCCTTATTTGGTGTGTCCTATCCTCTCCCAGGAAGGTGGTGGGTGCACATCCTTGTCCCTGCCAGTGACCCAGGTCCCTCTCACCACCTCCCCAGGCAGAAGCTCAGCCCAGGTTATAGCCAGGGTAGACCAGGAGCACCCCAGTCCTGAGCAGCCATGACTGCCTTTAAACTACTGAAAACCATCACCTGGTTTTCACCAACTAAACAAACAGAGTTCTCAGCTGCTCCTCATAAGACATGCCTTCCAGCCCTTTCACCAGCATTTTTGCTCTCCTCTGGACACGTTCAAGGACCTTCACATCCTTCTTAAATTGTGGGGCCCAGAATTGCACACAGTACTCAAGGTGAGGCTGCACCAACACTGAATATTTTTTATCCAGAGCAGTTTATTTGGGTTTTTTTGCTATGAATACAGTATTTCCCTATGATTTTCTGGTCTGAGGACCAGAGAGTAACCACCCTGGCTGCTCTGCACCACAGCCCCTCTGTCACCATTGCAGCACATAGCAGTTTCCAGCACTGAGCTTTGAATGATTACCCAGGAGCTGTCAGGGGTCAAAACACACATAGCTCTATTCCTGCAAAGGACTTATGACTACTCAACCTGAAGTCTGAATGGATAAGGAAGTAGTAAATATTTACCTGTATTTTTGTCTGTCTTCTCCAAGTAAGAGAAGTCCATGCTCAAGCTCAACCAGGGAAGCTGAGAAGAGAAGTCTGGACTTTGTGGTCTTGGTGCAATTTTTGAGAGAGATGGTATGATGGAGAAAGTAACACTGCTGGCCAGGCCAGGAGGTCCTTCCAGTTCCTGTACCCCAGTGCCCAGCCATTGCTCCACACTGCTGTGAAGTCATGTAGCAATTCTGGTTTCTTTCTGCCTTTAATGTCTCTTTTCCCTGTCTTTTTCTTTTTTTTTTTTTTTTTCCCCCTCTCATGTACTAAATCTTTCCTTTGTTCTGTATCCTCTTTTCCACCTGCCTCCCAAGTATAGCTAAATTAAACTGTATTTTTACCAGGACTGTAAACAAAACCTTCCCTCTTAGTCTGAGTCAATTCCGTTGCTTAAATGAAACTCTTTTACAGCAATTAGTAATTATGGGGCACGATTTCATTCTTCAGTTAGTGAATGCTGCAGCCCTGATGAAATATTTTGTGGCCTTTTGTTTAGTGGCAGTGTAGCTTTATTTCCTGAATTAATATATTTATAATAAAACCAAACAGAAATTCTTAATGGACTAAATTTGTCTGCCCAAGTGCTGCCTGAGGCTGCTGCTGCTGACGCCCGGCGTGTGTTCCCGCTGCCCTCTCAGCTGGGGCTGGTTTTCAGCAGCTGGCTCTGCAGCTCCAGAAGCAGCAGAGGGAGTGAGGGGAGGAGGAGCAGCACTGTCTGAAGGAGGAATTGCTATTGACTGACCCTTACTTCTGCTGGGAAGCTTTAGTATACATTATCTGGGGAAACTCCACGTGGACAGAGTCAGCCTGGATGTCCAAGTCCTTCCTTCAAACACGTGTCAGAACGGGCCCATTTCTGTTGTTCTGCAAAGCCCCCGTGTCGTGGCACGTGTTACGAGTGCTGAGACAGGCCAGCGACTTGGGACAGTATGGTGGAATCCTGGGGGCCACTCCCTCTGCTAGTGATGAGAAACCCCCGAAAGCAAATCACCCTGTCTGTGGCCCTCTGTGTTCCCTGCACGTATATCTGTTCCTTGGACCAGCTGCAGCTGTGGGCTCGTGGGGAGGGTGCTCGAGAGGCTCTGTTCCCACTGCACTGAGTAAAGGGGGTGCTACCGCGATACAAGTCAAAAGTCAGTGGCAAAACACCAGAGCAGCAACATCAATTCCTGAGGAGAAACAGGGGGATGCCCTTTGATATTCACCAAATCCAGCTAACTCGCTTCGGCCCTTCAGCTCACAGGTCTGTGTTAGCTGTCTGGATGTTTACGGTGGAGCAAATGGTCTGCGAGGCTGGGGCCTTCCTGTACCTGGACTGCTCCATCCACGCCTCGTGGCAGGATGTCACCACGGGTGGCAGCACGTTCTCCTGAGCCTGAGGCACCTTCTGGCACATGCAGATCAGGGACTTGAGCTCCGAGCGGAAGCTCTCGTTCAGCCAGCAGTAGATGAAAGGGTTGTAGCAGGTGCTGCTCATGGCAAACCAGTGCAGGGCAAAATAGACGGAGTTCTTCGTCTTGATGCCTAGACTGGAGATGAGCACCACGTAGCAGTTGAGGGGGAACCAGCAGACAGCAAAAACCACCACCACCAGCATCAGCATCTTGATGCTCTTCTTCTTGTTCTTGTGGTGGGTGATATACTGCTGCGTGGTGATGTCTCCAATGGCGTTGCGGAGCCACAGCTTCTTGGCCAGGCGTGTGTAGGTGACAGTGATGATTAGCAGAGGCAGAAGGTAAAGAAGGAGAAAGGTAGACAGGTCTAGATACTTCCAGACCAGCTCTGCAGGCTCAGGAAAATCAGGGAGGCACAAACTCCGGACAGTGGCTTCCCTTGAAAAACAAAGAAACACATACATAACATAATAGATAATACATATTATCAGATACGCACAGTGGGGCTTTCACACCACCCACAACCACCTCCTCTGATTTTCAGTAGAGACAGAAGAGGGCCAGATATTGCTAATCTCAACAAAAGAAAGCTCGGTCAAACCTCTGTCTTCCAGAAAGTCTTCTTGTGATGTTCTCTGTGTCTGTCTCACCAATGATAAATCTGGCTACTCTGTATTGTTATCTCCTTTCCCCTGAGATTGTTGTGTTGTCTGATAAAAGAAATTCTTAGAAATACAAACTGGGATTTCCTCTAGAAGTTGAAGTTTATTTTAATTAAATGAGCCCCTCATGTCCCCTTAACATTGCAAAAATCACCCGTGATGGCCCATTTTTACAAAAGACACTACTGTGAAAGAAGCACTGTCCTGGCTGCATCTGCCCCTTCCTCGTGTGCACAGGCACAGAGTCACAGCAGCGCCAGTCTCCTCTTCCCCAAAAACCCAGTGCAGGAAGAGAGAGGGCAGTGGGTGAGACCTACTTAACTCCTGCTTTTCTCCAGTCCCATAGGTGATTCCTATGCACCTGGAAAAAGGACACATTATGCCCAGGTTTCCTTGAATGTGCCCACCCAAAATCCAGCCTGGGATGTGTTACTCCTCTTGCACGTGGGCAACGCAAACTGTTGTCTGGCCAAGCACAACTGACCTGATCTTCCCGGGACACGGCAGAGTCACAGCACGTGCTGGACCACTGCTGCAGCATGCTTGCAATAGCTCTGGCTTGTCTTTGCCAGGTTGGCTCTGCAGTCCATGCCCTACACGGGTACACTCGCTTTTTTGTGCCCCCGAGCAGGTACAGGACCCCTCAGCCAGAGCAGAGAAGTGCTGCAGCAGCTAGGAAGTCACAGCTGTTGGGGGTGGAAGGGGAAGGGTCTGCTGCGGGCTGTGTGAAAGACTCACAGGCATGACCCTACCTGCACAGGCAGGACTCCCTTCCTGTACTGACCATCCTGTTTCCATCAGCTTTTCAGGAGATAGGCTGTTAAAGCCTTATTGCCACATCTTAAAACAGGCATGATTATTAGAAAACCTGGTCATTTAACTCAAGTTTAACTAAAGCCTGACAGTTTAACATCTGATGGTTAACTAACAAAAAAGAACTGAGCGTAATTATATGTGACAGCTTATTTTAACAGCACTTCAGCAATCTGTCCCATTCAACCCAGTAGATCTAGGCTCTGTTTGCATACTCTGGCTGGCAGCAGCTCTCAGCTGATGCACCCCAGCACCCTCCACAGAGCACAATGTGTGCCCTCCACATCTCACAGCAGATATCTGGAAGTGATGAAACTTTAGGGGAAAGGAACACACGCACATTTATTTCCAGTAGATGTTTTCTCTTTTTCTTTCTCTTATTCCATTTTGCCCTTCTCTCAATACTTGTCCTCTTCTCACTCATATTCAACACAGACTGTAGTCCCTATCAAGCTGCATTATTCGTTGCAGTATTGATTAATATCTTTAATATCCTGTTTTCAACCTTGGAATCTGGCTTTTGAGCCACAAATAGAAGGCTGCTTGAAAACAGACGGCTATGAGGAGAGCCTGCGCAGAGCTGTCGGAGAGATGACAAAGGGCACAGGAGCAGAGCTCTGCCCAGTGCGGCTGTGGGGACCCTGGAGATGCTGCTTGAGAAGGGAACTGGCACAGAAGGGAAAATCATCCTTTCTGAACCACGCTCCTGACCTTTCCCTCCCCAGGATCTGGCTCGCCGCTGGCATGAGTGAGGCCAGCCCCTGCCTGCAGGCAGCTCTGCCTGCCTGCCACAGGCACCTCCCAAAGCAACCCCAGATCTGGCATGGCACCCAAGGTGATGCTGCAGTGCAGGATCAGAGCCACCACAGCTGAAGAGCAAAGCTGTAGGGAAAGAGCAGAAGTGATGGGGCGGGAGCAAGCTGTCATCCCTCGCTGCTCCCCTGGGAGCTGGCTGTTTGGGGAACACCTTGAGCTTGGGATGGGGTCTGGGCTGTGGCTGCTGGTGCTGGAGTACAGATGAAGCCTAGCGAGGGTGATACTTTAGTACTTGTGGAGCTTAAAAACACATTTTAACAGAGTGAGCAGCAGAGTAAGCCCACAGATAACAAAAAAAAACATTGCTGCCCCCCTTCCCTCTCACCCTTTAAAGGAGGCGTGCAAGTCTGTAGAACAGGCTCATGATGATTTCAGGAAACAGGCTAGTTGAGAGCAAAACCAGACAGGACGCTGTGTTTTGGTAAATTCTGGTATGACCTTGGACTTGGCCATACTGCCAAGAGGTTTGATGCTGGTAGAGCCTATGTTCTCCTGTCCCCAGAACACCAGCAGCTCTCTGGTGGGACTTCTCAGGAGCCCTTGACCCCACAGGAGCTATTATGAGCAATATTACAACCATGATTTTTATTCAACGGAAAGCAGGGATGAGAATAGCGTGTCCTGGAAGTCCTTATATCGCTGAACGGCCTCGTGCAGATGCGAGGCTCGGTTTCCTCTGGCCGTGCTGAAGGATGAACACAGACAGGTGCCGCGAAACAGATAGCGGCGTTTGTTCATTCATAAGCAATTTGCTCAGTAATACCCTGAACACAGCTGCGAAGCAATGCGAGTACAGGAGTAACCCAGCACTTTGTTTACAAAGTCTAAGCAGTTGAAGATACTATATCCCTCACAGAGGTGTCTCTCAGTCAATTCAATCACAAGGACAAGTAAGGAAGAGCTGTGAAGCCCCAAATTACACTCCCATTTTGTATAACCTCTTGTATACAAACAGCAATAAAAAGCCAGTGCAGGCAATGAAACACTCCCCCCGCCACACTAATGTGAGAGAAGTGGCTGTGCTGTAGGAAGACATTTGTCCTTTATATGAGAGCTCAGTATCTACAATAGAAATTTTTCACCTGCTGCCTATTACTGCCTCCTTACCCTGCTTCCTGGGTCACCACTCGCAGGGTGAAAATACTGCTCACTGTAAGATTATCCCCTCGGCCTCAAGTCCGGCATTCCTGCAAAATGCAGGCACTAGCAGCATGACACACCACCAGAAAAAAACATCAGTTTGTGCAGCATTATGAACTGTTTTTTAGGCAGGAGGAGTCATAGCAATGACACAGGCTGGTGAGGACAAGAGGACCAGGACAGGTTGGGTCCCATGGAGAAACAAAAGACTGCAAAGAAAAAACAGCCCAAAACTTCTGGTTCTTTCTTTTCCCCTGGTAGAGAGGATGACTTCCCAGCAATGAATGCCATCACTAGATTGGTTGGAAGGAGGGAAGATAAGCTTTTTCTTTTTTCATCTTTTTTTTTTTTTTCCCCTTTTCTTTTTTCCCCTCTAGATCAGAACTTTCACTTTCTGCTGATACTTCAGCAGTCCTCACACGGATGTGCAATTCCACTTCACCTCCTTTTAATAGCTTCTGCTGTTGTGTTCAGCCAAGCAAAGAGCTCCCTTCCTTGCCAGGCAAGGCAAAGCAGCACACTAAGACAACTTTGTTTCCCTGTTGAAGCATTGTTCCTCTCACTGCAGAGGAAGAGGTAGAAGCTTCTCTTTTGCTTTTCTTGCTTGTGTAACCTTGGGCAGAGAAACCTCAAGCTTTAAGAAAGGCTGGTCCTGTTTCATAAATCCAGATGGATGAAGTGCAAGGAAGCTAAAATGCGTAAATCAGCGTATGAAGTCTTGGAGATCTGAGGTTCGTGGCCCTGCTGACTCACAAAGGCGGTCCCCTCCTCCCTGTTCTTTCTGTATAGTCTTGCTAATGTCAGTATCAGATGTTTACACCATAAGTTTTATTTTCTTTCTTTTTCAAGCTGCAGCCTTGGCACTCTCTTTCCTCCTTGCCTGAGCAAGTTGGCTAGACATGGTCTTCTTAGGTCTAAAGAGCTCAGCAAGCATGAGCAGGAAAGAGGAAAGGCCCTCGGGGAAAAAATGGCCTTCTCTGGTGTTGTGGTTTGGGCCTGATCCGGCAACCAACCCCTGCAGCTAATCACCCTCCCTTCCCCCTCCCCACCTGGGAATGGGGGAGGGATTAGAGGGGTGAAGGGAGACTCGCAGGCTGAGATAAGAACAGTTTAATAATGGCAATAAAATGAGAACAATAACGATGATGGGGGAAAACAAAAAGAGATATATAAACAGGCGATGTACAGCGTAATTGCTCACCACCCACTAACCAATATCCAGCCTGTTCCCGGCCAGCGACCCCGAGATACCAAGATCCCGCAATCGCAATCCCGGAAGCGAGAGAGAGAGAGCTCCTTCCCAACCACCCCTCCTTTATACAGTGAGCATGACGTTCCATGGTATGGAATATTTCACTGGCCAGTTCGGGTCAGGTGCTGTGGCCGTGCTCCCTCCCTGCTCCCTGTGCCCTGGCGCACGGGCAGGACATGGAGAGTCGGAGCATCCTTGAAGTCTCGGCAGCAGCTGAAAACATCAGTGTGCTATCAGCATTCTTCCCATACCAAACCCAAAGCTAAATCCAAAACACAGCACTCATCTAGTCCCTGAAAAGGAATATTAACTCTATTTCAGCCCAAACTAAGACATCTGGACAAAGCCCCTCCTGGCAGCATCGTGACACTGGAGAAGTTTTGTTTCACCGACCTGCTGTGCCCTGGACAGGCTGTGCTGGCCGCCCGGCTGTGCCTGGAGCATGAGGCTGGGAGGGGAGACTCACCCCTCGTCCAGGCCTTTGGGAGATGGCAAAAGCAAACCCAGGCCCTGCGGATGTGCGTGCCCAGCGGTGAGCCAGGCTGCCCTTCCAGCAGGACAAGCCTCTGCCACGGGAGGTGAGATTTCAGCCACACACAAACTCACGCCAATTCTGCAAGGTCCTTCCCCGAGCCCGGGAGCCCTTCCAGCAGCTCTCACCGCTGAGAGCCACTGCCACACAGGGCTATCGGACCTCTTCACGCCTGCTTGGGAGGGAAAATAACTCACCTGTAATTATACTGGAAAAGCTGTTGATAGATGGCATGGGGTAAGGAGAAACAGGTTGCCATCAGCCAGATAACAGAGATGCTCAGCACTCCCTTTGTTAGTGACATCCTCTGCTTCAGCGGGTTCAGGATGACCTGCAACAGAGATTTCACTGAGACTCTGATCGCACAGAAAAGCAAAGTCCCTTCAGCAATGCACACTGCAGAGTGATTTTTTTAATGTGATCTAATGCTGTTAAGAAAATGACAGCCATGATTAGGAAAGTGTCCTGCTTACTAGAGTGATCTGGAAAATGGGAAACATTGAGCTTTTTAGTTTGCTCAGAAGTGCTTTCAAATAAACATTTTCCTCCATTTTTTTCTGTGGGGACCATTTTCCTTAAATTGTGGGTTACATTAGGTAGGGGAAAAAAAAGAAGATATCTACACGAGTCTCTTCACTTACAGGTATGTTTGTTTATTCTGTACGAATTTCATAAAGAAATGTCTCCTATTCTAGCTGAACCAATGAAGCTGAGCTCTCCTCACGTCTTTTGAGACATTAACTCACCTTTTATAAAATTTCCTTTTTTAGATGAAAAGGTAAAGAGTTTATAAAATCTGAGAGTCTGGAAGATACTATTTGACTGACAGTGCAGGAATTAAGGGTGATTGCTAGAGACAAGCACATGGCCTGGGCTGCCCTCGCTCCTGTACTGGTAATGCAGTGAGCATTTATTGGGCAGCTGATGCAGCCTGGCTGCAGGCAGATGGTGGCTACAGTCTTCTCACAGCTTTGAAGTGTCCTCCCAGTATTTCCAACAGAGATTTCCCGCTCTGCTGCTCCCCTTTATAGTGGTCCAGGATGAGTCCCATAGTTATGCCATGGGACTTTAGTCTCAGAATTTCCTTTTACTCCAGATGTCCTGCAGCTTGATGATGCAGCAAATGCCCAGCGGGAAAAGAAGAGCAAAAGAAGAAACAGGCAACTAAATCAGAATTTAAGCTCAGGATGCTACAGACTGGTGATCTATGGCCCTTGGGTGGTAAACTAAAAAGCTCAGAGAAGTTCCCTGCACAGCTGAAGCAACACTTTGCACTCAGCGTTGGCTCTGTTGTCTTTCATGGCCCCCCATGTAAAATAAAGCCTCTTGAATCAACTTGCCCTGTCATAGTTGGGGGCTAGGCTGGAGCTGGCTCTTCACAAACTAGTTGAAAAAGGTGCCCTCAACCCTTTTCCACTGAAAGTCTGGGAGCGTCCTCTGAAACCTGTGATGCCGCATTTTTGTTTTTTCCCTCCATCCCCACACCTGGAAGCCTACAGAAGTCCATCAAGCCTTTCTACCTCTGACACACAACGGGCAGCTTTGAATTTAGCTCCAGACCCTTCTCACTGGATATGGGGTTAATCCGCAAGATTCTGCCACTTTGAACCCATGGCATAATCGAGACTGATGGGGGCTTGGGAAGAGCCTTGTAGGGGAATGGTGGAGGGATGGCATTTTACCTGGTGCCTGTCCAGGGCGATGGCCGTCAGGGTCAGCGTGGAGACGTGGAGGGAGCAGTACTGCACAAAGCGGCTGATGTGACACATGGCCTTTCCAAAGATCCACGTGCTGTTCACAAACCGAACCTGAGGGGAAACCAGCATGTCATCGGCCAGCAAACATACTGAAGGCAAATCTACAGGGAAACTCCTTGGATTGCACCTGAGCTGGCACAGGGGGTTTGGCTGGCTAGGCAGCTCCAATTGAAACACAAAGAAAGATTAGCTACGTTGGATTTTGAAACACCTTTACATAAGAGTTTATAAGGTCAAAACCCACAGAGTAATTCAGTGGTGGTGTTACAGGCCTCTTGGTCTATTCGTATAAACACCATTTGTGAACAAAGGTAGTAACGTTTTCATTACAATAACTACTATATTCGGAAAAAGTGGGCCAAGTTTTGGTCCCATAATAAACCCCCCCCTTCAGGCCTGGAGAGATTTCACTGAAGACTTTACCTAACTCACAGCTCTAAAAAGCTTGACTACTTTCTTCCAGTCATCTGAGTATGACTGGCAGTCAAGTTGTTTTGTCCCACTAAGTTTTAAGCGTGACTCTCTAGTGCTCTCCTGCATGTACATTAAAAGTACGTGTTCATCCAGGCACTTATTCTGCATCCTCCAAGAAGCTCTTGCTCTGGTTTGGTGGCATAATTGGAAAGACTTTGGAGTCTTTTAGGAGACACAGAGTATAATGGAACATCCTCATGAGATACTCCCTTCCTGGCTGAAGGGACAGCACAGTGGGCCACTTACCAGGGTAAAAGGTGTGTTGAGCAGCGTGATCATAATGTCAGACACTGCCAAGTTGACGATGAAAAGGCTGGTGGCTGAGTGCATCCTCTTGTTCTTCAGCACCACGTGGCACACCAGCATGTTCCCAAAGAGAGACATGATGATAATGACTGAGTATGCCACAATTAGGAGAGCTTTCACTGTTGGTTTCTGGGATTCTGGCTCGTATTTAGCCAGCTTGGCAAATTTCTCCCACTCAAAAATGCGACTGTCTGTCCAGTTGAAGGTGGTCCTGTTGGTTGCTTGGTAGATTGACATGAATTCAGCCAAGGAAGAGTAATGGTCAAACTCCTCAAGAAAGCCCACCATATGTGACCTATATGACTGAAGCAGCAAGCGAGGCATGGTGGGTTAACCTAAGTCTTCACTCAGCTTGAGGCCGCTGGGATCGCAGCTCCCAGCTGACAAAGCAAGTGATCCATCAGCTTCACGGGCTTGGTTCTCTAGGAAGCTGGTGAAGATGCAGCTGTTGTTACAAACATCACCTTAAAAAGGAAAGCTGGAGGGAGCCTCTAAGGTGTGATGACTTCCCCAGGGGCAGAGGCGGCACCAGGGAGCAGTTCCAATGGGCACGGAAAGGGGCTGCTTTGGGATTGCCTGCTCTCAGCCCCTTCATATATCAAGAAGAGCAATAGCTCCACAGGCAGGCTGGAAATAACTAGTTGTTACATGTAGAAAATGTAGGAAAACCTCAGATGGGGTCTGAAGTTGCTTTAATCCCACCACAGCTTTTTCTTCTTTGTTCTCACCTAAGTACATTTTTCCTCCAAGTTCTACAGAAGGCTGAGCTGTTGGTGCTTTCATCCTCTACTTCAAAACACCTGGTTCTTTCCTGTGAAAATGTAAAGGCAGAGCCATTTGGAGGATCATTTTTAAGAGCAGAGGTAGCTTTTGTCTGTACCTAACCCCAGCAATTATCCTAAAGCGATTCAGAACCTGGAAATCACATCAGAAGTTGACTTTAGTCTATCTCATATTTTCTCCTCCAAACAACAACTGAATTTTGCTTCCAGTGTTTCAGTTTCAGGGAGAAAACAATCTTTCCTGCAAAAGGCGACACTTAGCAGTCACGGCATGCAGCTCACAGAGGAGGCCACTTAAACCATACACAAACAAACCAACAAACAATGCTAGATACACAAGAACCATCTCTGCTTCCTCACCTTTACTGATACCCATTTTTAGATATTTCTGGTGATTTTAAATTGCATTGATCTATTGATATTACATGGAACATATTAACTATGTAGACCAGTATTTACAGATCTGCTACATACACGAGGAGAAAGTCATTTAGAAGCTCTGCTGTGTTCTCCGACAGGGTGGCTGGTTTGTTTGGTACGTGCCATTCCTGTCAAGCCCCGTGGCCATGAGCACAAATCAATGGACCTCACATGGTGTGAGGGATTCACAAGCAGAGCTTTTAGTGTGCTAAAAGGCTCCCCCTGATCCCTTCCCACACAGCGGAGTGGCAGCCAGCTCGCTGCAAGGCAGGTGGGGGCTCGAAGCAGACATCCAGCAGCCTCCAAACCATCACACCACTCAGTCACGGTGATGGCCTTGGCTGCAAACACCACTAAGAGTCAGAGAGCAACTCTTTTTCTGATGGCAATAAGGTGCAGGGGACTGAGTGTGTTTGTACCCCTGCATTCCCATAACACAACCTGCTTTGGCTTGTCTACTTACTCTGGGGAGCATCGGGAATACCACAGGACCTATGAGAGGATGTGTCTCAAAAGCAAGTAGATGTTAAAGTAGCTTGGTGGGGTGGAAGGAGGGAGAAGTCATCCAGCAGACAGAGAGAACAAATCTTGAAAACAGGCATGGCTGTTTCCTGGGAAAATTTACGAGTGGAAGAAGACTGAGTAGGACAGAGAGCATAATAAGCACTCATGGATTCTGCTAAAGTAAAGAAGCTGTAATGCAGCAGGTCCCTGTACCATCAAAAAGCTGATCCATATGAAAGTTAAATAGACAGTGTTATCAGCCGGATCGGTTTCCTGACCCAACCCGCTGCATGGCTGAACTTTGTTCTTTCCCAGGAAGGGGCTAGGATCAAAGCATAGAATAAGAGTATCTCGAGTTGGAAGCAGCCCACAAGAATCATCGAGTCCAACTCCCTGCTCCTTGTAGGACTAGCAAATACTAAACTAAGAGCATCGTCCAGGTCCACCCTGAACTTGACAAGCTTGGCGCAGTGACCATTTGCCCGTGGAGCCCAAGGAGAATGGAAGAACTTAAGGTGATGGAACTGTAACCCGATTTCTGACACAGAATTTCTCCTCAGATCTTTCTATGCCCAGTAAAACATTACTTTCAGTAACTGTTGAAGCTCTTGGCATTGACTGCTGCCTTTAACAAGACGGCAGGTGCAGCAGAGAGGACTGCTGTTTTCCTGAAAAAGGGTGTGTTATTAATGCATGTTATCCTGATGAGTTGAAATACTCTGGTTTCATGCAGTAAGTGAGGCTACCTTTCAGTTTTCATAACTTGATATAAGCTGAGGGACCTGTGCAGGAGAGCCTAGCTCAGAGCAACCTTTCCCAGGTCTTCCAGCATCTGGTTCAAACAGGCTGACTGAACACTCCTGGCTGCTTCAGCGATGATTTCTTCCCCCTGCAGAAATGCAAACCTTCCACTCTAACACATTTAAAGGCGTCTTTCCAGCAGCACTCTGCCAGACGGTTTGAATTCTGAACAGGAATCAGCACTTCGCTCACTGAACCAGGTGAATCTTTATGTAACAGCATATATGTTGCAAGCACAAGTTACACACAGTTTCCCCCCACCCCCCCCCCCCCCCCCAAAAAAAAACACACAAAAAAAACCCAAACCCAAACAAAAACCCCAACCCAAATTGAGAAAACAAACCGACCACCACTTACCCCCCGCCATCCTGCCGCTCGCACCCCCTGCTCCCGATCCCACGGGGCAGCGGCGGCTCCTCCGCCTCCCGTGACCGGCCCCCCCGCCCGGCACGTGCGGAGCCGCCAATCCGGGCGCGGGGCGGGGCCGCGGCTCCATTCATTAAAAAAAAAAAAAAAAAAAAAAGCGCACCCCCCCGGCTGTGGCTCTTCTTAAACACTGGGTTTTGTTGTTTTTTTTTGTTTGTTTTGGTTTTTGTTTTTTGTTTGTTTGTTTTTTGTTGTTTGTTTTTTTTTTTTTTCCCCTCCGTTTTTGGCAAAGCTTTGCTGGCGGGCGCGGAGCCCCACTCTGGGCAGGCAGCGCAAAGCTCTCGCACCGACCTGAGCTCCAAGGAACGCGATTTATCTCCAGGCACGTACGCGTTTGATTGGAAAGCGATGCCATGGGTTGGTGATTCTTTTTTGATTTGTTTCTGTGCCACAGGTTTGCATGTACTTTATAGGTACATAAAAGAGATGTCCAGACAAAGACAGAAGCTTGCAGCATAGAGAACTCTCTAGGAATCACAACTCGTGTGTTCTTCTGTGGAATTTTAGCAGAGAGCTGCTTACACATTTCATACTATTATTTTAAAAGCATAAAAAACAGCAGACAGGATGCTCGATACATGTAGTGAACACTGTCACTGTTCCTACTGGAGATGAGCTGTTTTTAAAATCTTGTGAAAAATGAACAAGTTTCTTATCTTCTAAGAGAATTAGCTGGTCTCAAAAGCCATTGACAGCAGTTAGAATAATACCTCATTTTTTAATTCTGTAGGGGTTGCCAGAACACATACACACTGATGCTGAGGATGACAGTCTGATCTACTCCCCACAATAATTCCCATACCAGCCGTTATGAAAAGTTAGTGCATGGGCCACCTTTCTGAAAAGGGATTGTTGAAAAGCCTCGTTCGAAGCCCAGCGAGCTCAGTGGAGATCTTTGCATTGACTTCTCTGGGCTGCCTCACTGCTTGCTTGGTTTCTGCATTGAGGATAGGCAAGAAGCTGAATGCCCTTCTCCTCCTGGCTTTTCCTCCTGCCCAGGGTTACTGCCCCTCTGCTCAGTGAATGGGGAAGAAGAGATCTGACCATGAGCTGCTCACCTTCTTCACTCCACTCTCCCTTGCGTACTTCCCCCCATGGCTGACCTTGACCCTCCAGGCTCTGCTGGCCCACACACAGCTTCCAGCTTGTCCCCGTTTCCAGTCACTGGTCGAGGTGATTCAGCAGAGCATCACCCATGGGTGCCAGTGCTGCGGCAGGTTCGATCTTCTGCTGCAGTCAGCGGCATGCACCTCCATGTCTTGGTGAACTGACCAGCGTGGATAGTTTGCAACCTGAAATGCAAGCAGAAACTGAAATAATTGTCAGCCATGTTCCCAAAGGCACAGTTCAAAGCATTTGATTGAAATCACACTATTTTAAAAGAATTCATAGTGATGAAATCGGTCTTCCTTTGCTTCAGGGTTCCCATGATGTTAATGTTTGACTGAATGACACTGCACACTCTCGCCTTTGCTCCACACTAGCCACCTCCTGTCCCACGGGCATTCAGTGGAGCTGCTAGTCCTTTGTTTTCCATGTTGATAAGTGTCTAATTGACACTTGTCTGCTTCTTCACCTATTGGAAGACATTTTAGGAGCAGGAATGGCTATGTTATGGAATCAAATTGCTTAGAGCTTTCTGCCTGTTTTTCTTGGGCAAAATTTAAGTTATCTGCCTGTCTCTGCAGAGACTTTATAGGCTGGAGATATTAAAGAAATTCAGTCTTTCCCTTGTGTCTTACATTTAAATGTCAGAAGATCTTTTTGTTTCTTGCAGGTCTAGGCGCCCTCTAGACAGATGAATTAATAATATCACAGATACACAGGTGCCAGAGGCATTATAACTTATGAGCTGCAAAAACTCTTCCTTTTGCTCTCAAATATTGGTGTCTGCTCTACTATCACCATCAGCTTTTAAGGCACAACAGGTATAGCTGAGTCCCTGAAATACTTATTACCAAGCCTTTAACCTGCATGCACTGTTTAATGTGCACAGCTGGACAATGTGTAGGTCACTCACCCCTTCTTTCTCCCAAGACACAAGTTTAAAAAGCCAGTTCAGGTTTACCTAAAATGTTGGCAGCACAGTCGGGAGTTGAATTAATAACTTCTGAACTGCAGGGCAAGATCTTCTGCACTAGACCACTTTCCTTCATATTACTGTTTCATCTGAGCTTGGGTCACTAAGAGTGGACTACAAGCCTCCCTCCAGACAGAACTACTTGGCAGCAGCCATGCAGAGGCTTTCCTAACTTGAGATAAACATGCCAGATTTCTAAACAACTGACATTTCACATTTAAAATAGAAACTACAACCACATTTTAAATTCATCTCATTTTGAAGTCAAATTAAAATTCAGGTGGCAGGAACTTGGAAGTGCAAAGTCCTCTTCCAGTGATATTCTGGCACAATTTCCCCAAGGTCAGAGTATGATCTAGCATTAGCTGCCCATCTAAATGGGAACAGTGCTTTCAAACACATCATTTCAGATTAAAGTCTTCCATTAGCATATAATCTAAATAGTACTTATATTCATAACAAGCAAGTGGGTAGAGGGGTAAGTTTTACAAAATGGGCTTCAATAGAAGGAATAAGAAAAGAGTTACAATGCAATAGAAATTGCATTTGATTTTCTGTGGACAGTTACAATATAGACTTTATTATTCAAAATACAAATGGCAAGTATGTAATAGCTACTAATAATGGAACTTCAGAGTGGTTGGGAAAAAAAAAAAAAGACAGACTTTAAAATGGCTTTGATAGACCTTGAATTTTCAGCTGAAAGGTTTGGGTGACAGAACAAAGAAAACCAATATGACATTGTAAATCTGACTTCTCCATGACCTGATGGGTATTGTTTAGTGACTCCACTGGGGTCTGGATCTTCATCCTTGATTGTTTATTTTATTTTTTCCTTTATTTCTCCTTGATATCATACAGAATGCCACTGACAGCATGTTCAGTTCCTGCCTGACAGCTGGCCACGTGATTTCCATTGTGGTATGATGAAACAATGGATACGTGCCTGTTTTGGCTGGACTAGACTTAATTTTCTTCCTAGTAGCTAGTATGGGGCTATGGCTTAGATTTGTGCTGAAAACAGTGTTGATAACACAGGGATGTTTCTGTTATTGCTGAGCAGCACTTACACAGAGCCAAGGCCTCTTCTGCTGCGCACCCCACCAGTGAGTGGGCTGGGGGTGCACAAGAAGTTGGGAGGGGACACAGCTGGGACAGCTGACCCCAACTGACCAAAAGGACATCCCAGACCATATGGTGTCATTCTCAGCATATAGAGCTGGAGGAAGAAGGAGGAAGGGGCAGACATTTGGAGTGATGGTGTTTGCCTTCCCAAGTCACCATTACATGTGATAGAGCCCGGATGACCTGGAGACAGCTGAGCTCCTGCCTGCCGATGGAAGGGGTGACCGAATTCCTTGTTTTGCTTTGCTTGTGTGCATCATTTTTGCTTTACTTATTAAACTGCCGTTATCACAACCCATGAGTTTTCTCACTTTTACCCTTCTGATTCTCTTCCCCATCGCACCAGGCGGGAGAGAGCGAGTGGCTGCACGGGGCTGAGCCGCCGGCTGGGGGTAAAGCACAATGAGATACCAGTGACAGACAGACAGCTCCTACCTGTGCCTCCGAGCGCTCCAGCCTGGCCCACTGAGCGGGCCAGTGATCTCCTGTGTGGGAGGACCAACTCTTCTGACATTCTCTGAGGAATGCATCTTCCTTTTCTGTGCTAGAGGAGTCTTCTGGAGCCAAGAAGAATTTAACACCTCTTAGCATATGTTTCGTTCTTAGGAGGTTCTTCTTTAGTTCTTCACCCTCTGTGTAGGAGTACAGGACAGATAAACAAACCAACCATGTTTTCCTTAACAGAAAACTCATTGCTAATAGAAGTGACTTATCGATGAGTAGAAAAGTTAAGTCATTTTTTGTGTGCAATGTATATATGACTGTTACTGTGCTCATTTATTTCTTCATCTCTGACTGCAGCTTACTCTTGGGTGCACCAGCCAGTGCATATTGCTTTTAGCCCACCTGTGAAGATACAGAAATTGTAAACAGGGGCACTCCCAAAATCAGGTGCAACCATGCAAACATTACATTCACAAGGATCCCTGTTGCCTTTGATGAAAAGTTCCCTCAGTCTTAAAACTAATCCTGCCTATGAGTGCATTGCTGATTTGAGGCCAGAGAGCTGAAACTCTGCAGGCAAGACTTTTCAACAGAAACGTTGTCACTTTGAACCCTTTCAAAGGTGTCTGAGACCAGGAGGCAAGAGATCCGGCAGACAACACCAACGCTTCTCACTTGCGCCTCACCCGTCATGAGCTAAGTATGCAAATCCTGATACTTGGATGCATTTGACAAGGTGAGGAAAACTTAGATAGCACCTTAGCATTTTCTGTACATTTTCCTGTCTTTTAAATAATGGCATCCTATAATGGCTCATCATCTCTGTTCCCTTTAAAAGCCTGATTAGTTTAAAGGCATGGTAGGTTTGCTGGGATGACTCACATACCAAAGGAAGGGAGGAACGAAGGAAGATGAGACTCAAAAAGTAGTAGTAAATGTACATTTAGTTTAAAACTCTGTCCCTTTGTGCAGCTCTGACCAAAGGGAGAGAGGTGAAAAAGCCAAAAGTTGCATAAGCCAGCAAAGGATGGTCATGTAGAGAAGATGACAGCAACTGCAGCAACATTCCAAGCTCTAACCAGTCTGCGGAGAAAAGGTGGCTAAGCATCAGTGACTGATATCTTCCTGCATCACTCCTGGGTCTGCCAGCATTTTGCCTTGACCTTTTTCCTGAACAGCACGTTCAGAGGGCATGGGCACAGCTCTGCCTGCACAGCCCAGGACAGGGCACCAGCAGAGGCAGAAGACGGAGGGCTCTGAGGCTCTGGTGGGCTTCTGAGCAGCCAAAAAGGACAGCAGGCAAAAGGCTGTGTAAAGCTAAGATCCAGCAGGTGATGGGTGGAGT